CACTGCCCACAGAGAGCATCGCACACCCCAACACTGCCCACACCACACACTCCAACACTGCCCACTGGACACGACCGCCCACATGCAGGACAGTACATTACCTAGTTGTAGAGGTGGCAGTGGACGGCTGCTGGCCATAACCAGGGTAGGAAGACTGCTGGCTGTAGCTGCTCTGGGGGGGCTGGCTGCTGCTGTAGCCCCCTGAGCTGTAGGACTGGCTGGACTGGTTATACCCCTGAGAGGGGGGCTGGGCTCCGTAGCCACCTGGACAGAGGGAAAGGGTCAGCGTCAGGCACAAGCTGGACACTCCTCGCCGCGTCACAAGCGGAAGCGAGAGAAGCAGCACCAGACTTACCGGTCTGCGACTGGCCGTAAGTGGAGCCGTAGCCGCCCTGGCTGTAGGGGGCGGTGTTGCTCTCGGTGCCCTGGCTGTAGCCCCCGTAGCCCTGCTGGCTGTAGGCCTGGGTGGCCGGCTGGCTGTAGCCCTGGCTGGCCTGCCCGCCGTACGCGCCGTACCTGGTCGAGAAAAACACAAGGACAGGTCACCCCTGGCCTCGGACACGGCACAGAGGCTGCACCCCGGGGCAGAAGGCTCTACGGGGTCTGATTTCTTATCTCCCAACCTTCATCCGGCTGCCCCTGGTCTCCTGCCCATCCCCACCCCCCCCCCACACGGGCAACAGGGCTTCTTCAGAGCTTCTTCTGGCTCTGTGGCTGGGAGGTTGCCGGTTCAAAACCCGCAGCTGGCAGAGGAATCCTCCTCCTCCGTTGGGCCCGAGCAAGGCCCTTCACCCCAGAGCTGCTCCAGGGGTGCTGTATAAACGGCTGACCCTGCGCTCTGACCCCCAGCTTCTCTCCCTGTCTGTGAGCCCGTGTCTCACGGAGAACAAGCTGGGGTCTGCAAAAAAAACGAATTGCCGACCCCTGATCCACTACATTCTTAACCCTGGCTGTTCTTCCTTTTAGCTCCATTCCTCTTATTGTAAAACTTGGATAAATCATTTTTTAAGTCACTGTATAAAACACGTTAATCAGCTGCAGGCTGGCACAGTTACAGTAGAAACACAGAGTCACTCACCCCTGGGGCGCAGTCTGGGAGTAATCTGGAAAAACAAAGAGAAACGGGGGGTCAGTCACTTGGCGACACTTGCACTGTGCCAGGTGCGAAACGCGTTTTACAGGCAGATGAAGGACAAAATTCACAGCATGAAGCAGTCACCCAGACGTGCGAGTATGATGAGGAAAAAAAGACAGACCTGGACCTCTTTTCACGAACGTGATTCGTTCCCAGAAACCTTTTTGCACAGTGAAAACTCATACAAAGAAAAACCCATTCCAACATCTCTTACAAAGAAAAACAAGCTGTTCCAGACCCCCAGAAAAGTCCCCCTTCAACCATTTTCACCAAAAATGACAAGAAACACCAAGGACTAACTTTTTTTGCGGTTTACTCGTTATCTGATGAAATCCACTGCTTATCTCGTTAGACCTCAGAATGACCACTTCACTTGCTTTGTGAGTAGCGACACACGATGGCCCTTTCCTCGCCCCTCCAGGGCCCGGGGAAGGCAGGAGCACACAGAAGCGAGCAGGCGAAGCCGCAGTGTCCTCACTCCCACCCACGCCAGACCCGGCAGTGGAGCCCGACGGTGCCAGCACCCGATACCAAACCAGTCGCCTGCCTCCTCCCTCCCCCCACCTGCCCGAGGTTTCGAAATGTTTCTTTGCATCACGTCTTCGTGGCTTTGAAAGTGGCCTTTGCTACTCAAAACGCGCGTGACAATTCGCACGATTCATAGCGGCAAACTGTACGTTTGTGAAGGGGGGGGGACAGTCATGAAAAATAAAAAACAATCCATCGAGCACACGAAGGAGGTCAATGGCTGCAGGGATATAAGAGAACTTAGTTGTACTGCGCTTGAACCCAGGTGGTCTAAATGGAGTTCAGTGACTATACCCCCGGTTGCTCGGAAGTGTAGGGGTGCTACACGATCAATTTTGAAAAGGCATGATGGGAGAGGGGAACAAGCTGCCCAGCCCTGTTGTTGAGACCGATACTCTGACTCCCCTCTTGACACAACTGGGTGATCAACTCCAGCCTGGATAGGAGGCTCTTCTGTACAGAGAGGGTGGTGGGAGAGGGGAACAAGCTGCCCAGCCCTGTTGTTGAGACCAATACGCTGACTCCCCTCTTGACACAGCTGGGTGATGCACAATTCACTCAGATGAGCACACACGACCAAACAGACTAGATGTGCTGATTAAACTATTCTCACTTGCAGCTGCTTTTCAGCATACGTATTAAAGCAGAACTGCAACTGTTTTTTTTTATTTTGGGGTTAGAAAGAATTCGCAATGAGTACATTTCAAACCACGTTAAAAGTAAAAGGCACAACGTGTAAAACCTGCAATTATATCACAAAATAGACCATTTCCAAGTCTGTGATTTAGAACGAGTGAGGGGGGGGCACCCAGCGACGTGAAGCAGCCTTATTACATTGTAAACACGCGTGCTGGTAAACGCCCATTTTAAGCCAACAGAAACATCGTTGACTGGATATTACTGCAATATCGCTCTCGACTTTGAGATGGTTTTGGCGACAAATACTACTTGTTAACGCTGCACAAGGATCACTTTGGAACATCCCTGTAGTGAATCGTCTGCTGCGCAAGCCTGTGTTGATTTGCTCTTCCATCACCCTCGTCATCGAGGTGGCTAGTGAGCAGGAAGGGCCGCCGCCTCTCCAGCGCAATTCACACGAACTCTCGATTTAATTGATTTAATTAAATTTAATTCATTTAAATTCGTGATTTAATTCGGAACTCCTCCATTTTTCTTCCTTACACAACGCCAATGACGTCAGTTCCTCACCCGGGGGGTAACGAGCGGCCTGAGAAGCCGGGGCAGCAGCGCGGCGATCAGCTCCCGCCCCTCTCCCCATCTCCACACCGGCCGGAAGCGGAAGTCGGCGGCTCCATCTTGAGCGGGATGACCCGGATGGAGGCGCCGCTCCGCGCGGCATGGCCGGTTCCGCTCCGCCCCGCCCCCACTACACACACACACACCTGCTCCCCCACAGCAAATCCGGGGGGCTCCCTCAACCCCGGGGCCCCCCAAAATCACACCTCGGCGGCCCGGACACTTCGTTCCCGGGGCGCGAGGCGCACCAGAGGGCGCGACACCCCGCGCCAGCTCGCGCACAAAAGGGGGAGGCAAGATGGTGGCGGCGGCCGCGGAGAGGCGACAGCCCCGCTTTTGTCTCGCCTCTCCCCCTTCTCTCGGGAGGGAAAACAGCCGCCGCCGCCGCCAGCCCAGCCAGCCGGCCGGAAACGGACCCGATTTCAGCAACAACCAGAACAACCACAACAACACAAAGAGCCGGGAGGCCGGGGCGAGCGGAGCCCCTGACGCGAGGAGAAACGCACACGTTCAAACCCCGAACTGTGTGATTTTTACGCGTTTCTCTCCCCGGAGCCACGACCCCGGCAGCGTCTTCAAATTCAGACGTCGAGACTTTTCATTAACACACAGCAGAGAACCGGAGAAGCCGCTTGTTTCACTCCGGCGCGGACAGCGGAGGTTTGAAATGAATTAGACCCACAGGCTAACCGCCTCTTTCCCGCAGGCGGGTTAACGGCCACGAGTTCGCACAGCAGGCGGCGAAGGCCACTTTTTTTAAAAACAAATAAAACGATGGTATTTTCTAAAGAAAAAAAAGTAAGAAATTTGTGTTTTTTTTTTTTCTTACCGTTGGACGCCATGGTGGTCGGGTTGTCTTTGTGCTCCGCGACTCTTTCGCCCGCGCTTTTCTTCCCTCAAACGCACAAACTGCTTCCGAAGAAAATAAATACGGGAAATAAAGAAAGCCGATGGGGTGGGGGGTGCGGGGGAGGGAAGAAGAGAAAGAAATAAAAAGAAACTTCGAAGGCGCCGAAGACGACACAGCTCCGCAGCTCGACACTGAGGACAAACTGCGTCACCGGGCCGCCGCGCGGAGACTTTTAAAACCTGCGGCTGGACGAGACCACTTGCCTTGAATGCCTGGGGGGAGGAGGCGGTGCAGTTGGGAAACTACCCGAATCGAACAGTCCCCCCCCCTCCCGTCACCAGAAAAAAAGATGTCCCTGCTGTTCGTATTCCCGTCTGAGAACAACAATTCACTTTTTTTTAAAGTTTGTCTCTTTTTATACATTTACTGAAACGAAGCAGAGGGTGCCAGAAACCCCCTCACGTTTTTGTACAATAGCGCCGGTCTCCCTTAATCCGCCTCTCATTAAGAGATTAACAGGGGGTTTTGCGATGCTTCGTATCGGCTCTGGGTTGGAGGTGTGTTGTAACAGGGCACCGCGGCTGTAAACTCTTCGTCTCTCTGCACTGCAACAGAACAGGATTACACTGCATCCTCATTCTATTAAATATCTCACCCCAGTTATCCTCATCTGACCCGGTTTCTGATACATACATCACCTAAGAAAAGAAAGCGGTGAAAATGTAATGTATGAATATTGTAATATGCGATGTGTAAATATTTAAGGGCTGCAACCGCGTCTTTGTCTGAATGAGGGTCGTTTTTCATCTCCAACTGGTACAGCATTGACACCCAATCCCAAATCCTTTCAGGAGCTGATGGGAAACCTAACAATATTCCCCAAATAGGGAACTGAATTCAATTAGTGGTCCTCTAGGATCGGGACTGGAAACCATTGAATGAAAGTCAGGCGGCACAGGGGCGCAGTGCTGGGGGTGCCGGGTTCAATCCCTGGGGCGCTGTCAGGGTGGAGTCTGCATGTTCTCACTGCCTCCGTGTGGGTCACCTCTCTGTGCTCTTTCCTGGTGGTGGTTCACCTACTCACACGCGCGAGTAACAGACACACACACTCACAGCTGGGCCAACCGGGGTTGAAATTGTGTGTCCGCCCTGGAGCTGCGTCTGGCCCTCACAGTCGTGGGTAAACAAGGAGAGCAGCAGGGGACCAAGCACACAGCCCTGAGGGACACCTGTATCAGCGGTCAGCGTGGAAGATAGCTTTCCATCGTCCCTCACAGTCTGTGGTCTGCCAGTCAGGAATCCAGACTCCAGCTGCAGAGAGACACCCGGATCAGACAACAGAGCTGATACTCAGATCATTAAGCTTGGTGACCAGTCTGGATGGAACGATAGTGTTAAAGGCGGAGCTGTAATCAATGAGTAGCAGTCTGACGTGTG